TCTAGACTACTACTACTCTGCTTGCAAAAGAAGCCAGAAAGTAAATGAAAGAGTACGAGATACAGAACTAAAAAAGAAAGAAAGAAGGAAAATCTCAAGTAGAAAAGAGATGAGAGTGCTAGGCGACAAGAAAGATCGAAAATCTCTCTTACGCCTTTTCTATCTTTCTCTCTACCCCCCTCTCTAGGACTGACTTTCGAATGTAAAAGAGAGAAAGAGAGAAACATACATACGAGAGCAATCTATTTATGTATTCCATCTCGTTCATGCGAGAGTTGCTGCTCGCTCGTTCGACTTTTGCCTCTCACGTTTTTCTTTCATCTTGTTACGTTCCTGCGGATTCACGTTGAATTACCTACGAAAATCTCTCTCTCTCTCTCTCTCTCTCTCTCTCTCCCTCTTTCTCTCACTCTCCCCTCTATCTCTCTCTCGCCTTTCTCACTATATTTCTCTCATTCATTTACTGACTTTCGTTAGATAGCTACCAAAATTCGTATTACTATGATCTTGATTTTTATCAAGTGATGGTAACTGTGTCTATGTATGTATCTCAATACTGTTAAATATCGAAAAGTGTGTAAAAAATTGAAAAATCTATCAATAGAAATAAAATAAAATTAAATTATCAGGCATATCTCACTTGAGGCTTAACAAACACTTGAGAAATAAAAAACTATTAAAATGAAAAATTATTAGAGTTTTTCTGAAACTATTGTATATACATTCTAATAACAATTTTCTATTAAAAAGTATAACATTTTATTCATATTGAAATAATCATTATTTAAATTTTATTATAGCTTCAACTATAAAAATAAAATAATCAAAATGTAATTTTGTTATAAAATAGAGTTGTATAAAACTTAAAATTTATTATTGTCTCTATTGCAATGCATTTATTATAACAGTATGTCTAATTATAATTAATGATTTTTACTAAATATATTGAAAAATATTTTATAAATATTCAAAATATTAAAAACTAGTATTTTTAAAATCAATTGTTCTGCGTTTTTTAAATTCCTGTTAAAAAAACAAATAATTTTTACCTTGCATATTTAAAAATAAGCAATTCAAATGTTTCTATTAATTTGTGTATTTGCTCAAAATTTTTATTCGATTAAAAGTTATGCATTTCAAATATAATGTGATTTTAAAAATTTGTTATTTTGAATTTTGTTCTTGAATAAATTTAATTTTGAAAATAACAATCGATTACATAATATTATATAGTATTGTAATTATTCATAATAATATAAGTTATTTACGTTAATAATGTATTAATATTTTCCTACTATTTCAAATACATGATATTTAAATTTTTCGTAGTCATATGGTTTCCTCTTCTATTTAACTGAAATTTTACTTTTATAAAGTAAAATCTTGGCCAGCCAAAGTTCATCCTGTATGCTTTGTATTAATTTACACAAATTTTCAAAAGTCGAATAATTCATTCCTTTCAAAGTTATATTAAATCTTTTTAAGTGTTCCAGTAAATCTCATTTATTTATATTCTTGCCCTTTAGTTTTCGATTCATTCTTTAAGAGTAGTAGTGGATTCGAATATAATTTCGGAACGGTTAACCATCGTGAATATTTAAAATATGATTTGCATCGTCTGTAAAAGCTTCTCTGCTCCAAATACTAAAAACTTATAATATCAGATTATAATTATCTTATTTGATCAAAAAGTGTCTACATATATACTACTTACCTCTGTATCCACTTTTCACTAGATATACACATATTCTGTCCTACACATTGTTAAATTTTCAAATTTAAAAAGAAAGTTTCACTGCTCATGAAAGCTTGCTGGAGCTGCATATTCGAATGCACTCGGTGCACTACTCCCTTACCTAAATTGTTTCATTCTGTACGGTTCGAATTGCTCGCACTCACTCAACGATGTACATAGGTCAGAAAGAAACTTCCTTTTTAAATGTAAAATGAAATATATTTAATGAAATGTAGTTGAAATCAAATTGGATTGAGTAAAAATGTAATCGTTGAAAAGTGTGTGCCTATCATTCGTTTTACTCATCATACAAAATGACTACACCAAGAGAGAAAGAGCGAAAGAGAGAAAGAAAAGTTAGTAGTTTTTGAGAGTTATATTGTATCTATTGACTTTGATATTCAAATGGTCTCACAAAAGTATACCATATTCAACGAATTTTTTTACATTTTTTTCGTAATTTTATTAATGCATGCGAATACTTTAACTATACATACGGAATCCAACTTATAAATATAAATTTATAAATTTAAATAATATGGTAGTTCATACTATATATTTAATAGAAAATAATTGATTAGAATATAATTTAATAGTAAATGACACGATGTTTAGTAATAATAAAATTGAGCAAAAGGCTACTTGTATATTTTATATATATTTATATCACACATATTCCACATATGTAAATATTAAATTAAATACATTTGTTGAAACTCTATTTATGTCGAAGAAATATGAAGTCATTAAAACTATGTAGTTAACAAGCAAGAAGAAATCAGTAGTCATTTACATTGTCAAGTACTGTATGAGAAAATTTATCAAACTACAATTATAATAGAGTTTATAAGAAATTGTACTATTAAAATTGGATAATATTCATAAGTTCAAGTAATAATAACAGAAAACTATGAAACAAGCAAATGCATTAATTTTAATGAATGAAAATATTTTTATAACATGTTTAAATTATTTAATTAGCATATATTTATCCAAAATATTTACAGAAGAAAGCCTATTTCTGTCTTCGAGACAACAATAATACCATATAAAAAACCTAAATATTTGATTTCGTTAAATCAGTGATACAAGTTGATTCAATTCCATTTACAAATTTTATATATTCTAAAAATATAAACGTATCATGTGGATTTCTATAACTTATGAAGAACATTAAATCGATAAAAAAATATAGTCACTCCATAAATGTAAAATTCTAATTTATACTTACAGAATATAAATATCTTTCCTTCTAATTTCAGTTGCTTATTTCCGACGTATTATCTTATCTTCCTGAAAATATCAACAAGCTTTATACTAAAGTTAACACTTCGTTATTTCTTCGGACGTAATAATATTTTTTAAATTAAAACTCTTCATATATGAAAATCAATTTATAACTAATATTTCATTATATCCAAACAATTTACTGGTATTTTTCGAATAGAAAAGTGTAGTAAATATAATTTCACTGCTTTATAAATTGATATAATTACAGTGTCTGTTTATAAAACAATAACTAAAATGATAAAAATAATACCTGGAAACTATTTTCTAATAATATATTATTCCCATTCAATTTATAACTGTAGTAATATATATTTGTTTAATATTTTTAAAAGATTGTAAATGTCAAACATATAACATTACTAAAAATATGAATTCTCTCCAAATATGTATATTAAAAAAAACATATAAATAGATAGTTGGTACACTTTTTAACAAGTATTATTAAAAATAATAAGTAGCATATGCCATTTTTTAAAATTCATTTCAATATTTCAATATTTCAGGATTTATGTGATCTTCATTAAAACTCTCTGATGAAGGCAATTTATATTCTCATAGTGCAAACAAGAAATTAATTCTTTAATGAACCTTCGGTATTTAATTCTTACTCTGTGATGAACAAAAGTACAATTTTATTATGAATTATATATATCTGATATATGAAATAATTACTTTATACCCTATTAATGACTTATGCAAAACTTAAGTATTCATCTGAAATGCCTATCTACATCCTAAACGTTACTACTTAAGTAATATTAAGTAATGATAAGATTTATCCAAAAAAATTAGAAAAAAATTATTTATATTATGAAAAATCTTATAATAATTAATATATTTAAATTAAAAAAAAATATGATCATTAATTGATTGAAATAAATATATGTCAATATTTGTAAATTATGTAGATATCTTGTACATTATTTTATTATTTTATTTTTATATTCTATTGTATTTTATAATATTTTATTGTTTTGTATACATCATTTGAGTACTTATATTTATTCTATAGTACTTTAAAAGTATTTGAGACTTCTCTTTACAATGACATAGATGTGCATTAATCCAATCATAGCCTCGAATATCATAATGACAAGGTGTTTATAATTTCCCAATTAGTGCATGGCATGTGAAAGCTAAGTGCAAGGAATTAACATGCAAAACGAGTTAAAAATCTAATCTTAAGGGAAGGTAGAAATCATGGAAGAACTTAGATAAAATATTTTTTCGTTCTACTCTTGCACTTGACGTAAAAATCAGACCGACTTTTGAAGGTAATTATTCACAAGAAGAAGAGCGAAAAAGACAGTGGAATAAGGAGACAGAAATAGCTTAGCTTAATAGAGTACTGCATGATTAAAGGTTGGGTTACGTTAAAAGGTGTAGCATAGCTCTTAGACACTGCGAAAGTAAAACAGTAAAAGTGGAATAATTGAAAATGCTTACATATACTATCTATTGGTAACTTGTACATGTGCATATATATAGAAATATATCTACAAATATACTTATATATGTATATATATATATGCATGCATGCGCACGAGTGAATATGTGAAAAGGATTGATAAAGGCGAGCGTAGTTACTACTAATACTTATTTATAATCCTATTTCTATTTTTATTACTTTTTTTATAATATTTCTGAATACCAGTTCAAGAGCTCAAATTATTAAATCATATTCAATGGTGATTTTTAATGGGACATACCCTATATATATATACACACATTAAACATTTTGTATTATGCTTAAAATTAATTTTTTTTTTATTTGATAATATAAAGATGTTGATTACAAGAATATACTTTACTTAAAAATATTTTACAAATTTATCGGTCTTTTTAAGTTAAAAGTAACAAAATATAAATAAATCATGAATAATGAAATAGACTGGTATCATAAGTTCCTAATTGAATAGTGCAACTTAATCGCGTAGCCTAAGGTTTTAAAATTAATATATAATTTTTATTACAGGCGGAGGTCTAAAGTGGTGATATCCTCAGCACGACCGGAAGATAGTGGCAGATACGAATGCGTGGCTGAAAGCACTTCCGGTCATAGGGCTTCACTCGCAGCCCAGCTTCTAGTCGCTCATGATACGAGAATTCCTGAAACCAGTAAGTACACATATTTAATATTAGTTTTATATAATTTATTAATATATTAAAGTCGTTTTAATAATTTAAAAATTAATAAAATTTTACACTTCTTTAAAAAATAACTTGATGTAAGTAATTTATATAAATTTATTATATAGTCCATCATCAATATACAGAAGTTTAGTGTGAAATAATAGTTAATAAATAATATTGGAATAAATACATCTACTGAATTATAAAATAATTATTAATACCTACATACTAAAAGAATCATAAGTTTTTCGTACCTTCATAGTTGAACTACGTTATATTATATATTATATTATCAAAGTAATATCTTCAAACGCCATATATTTTTATTACTAAAATCCCGAAACAGACCTTATGTAAATATTAAAATCATTATTGTAAATTGGATTAACAATACAAATAATAGGTCAATCATATGTACCCAGCATATCCAAATTTCAGGTATTAAAGCATATAAAGACGAATATATTGATTGACTGACTTATTTAGAAAAGAACTAATTGAAGATAGAGAAGGTAGAGTTTTGTTGAAAGAATACCGAGGAGTTTTGAAACAAAAAAGACGAAACGCCACTTGACCGCTAAAAGTGCAGAATCACTAACTCGTTTTACGGAACGATATTTCTCGGTTTACGTACAAGATCAGAGCAAGCCAATTTTCCCCGGAGAATACAATTTATTTCCCTTCCAAACCTACTCGTCTCATTCTGTCTACTTGAGCTCATTTTTTTTCTTTTCGATTTGTTCCTTTGTTTTTGTTCTTCAATCGTTTGTCCCTCTTATACCGTAGAAAATTTAGCCTGCACAATAAAAATTAAACTTTTGTCTTAGTTACTTTATTCTAAATTTATTGTTACTGTCTATATGCATATATATATATATATATATATATATATAAAGAATGCTTATAAAACATAAAATATTTTAAATGAAAACATCTTTATTTGTAATTATTTTTATAGAACTTTATTAGATATATTAATAATAATGAACATCATTATAAAATTTTATATATAGAAATATATATATATAAATAAGTTTATAAAAATTTAGGAACGTACATTTAATTTCTATGTAAAATTGAATACGATATTTGTTGATTCTAAAATTGAAATATATATTTCATTGAAATAAATCAATAAATTGAAAAAGTATATTATGTATATGAAAGCAGGAAAATGGAAAATAAACTAAATAAAATAATTAATTATAAAATCACTCCAGATATTATTCTAACATCAATTTTAAAAAGCAGTTAGAAGTAGCTTATTTAAAATTTATATAAATGTGTGCGTTTACAAAAGTTTGTATTCTTAAAAACTGTTTTTATTTTATTCTTAAATGTAAATTATTTCTATATTCAAACTCTTATTTCATTTGAAAATTATAATTTTCGGATCATTCGTATTTTTTATATTTTTCATAATTCAGATACTTATATCTTATGAAAAGATTTGTATTAATGACAAAAATATAATAAATTAAGAGTACTTTTAAATATCAGAAAGCTTGTGTAGTAATTAAAAGTAAAAGCAATAATAAGTTTCGGAAGGGTGGATACCTAGGACAATTTATTAGTCTACTTTCAAAATTCTTTTTAGATTTAAATAACAAATCAGTTATAAAAGTAAAAGATTATTTTCATTTATCTGAATGAATAATTAAAAATTTTCTATGATAACATTCAATTAATTCAAAATTCTAAGTATATGAAAATGAACTGCCTATTCATGGGATTTAAGTTTCAAATCAAATTATTACGCAGAACATAATTAAGAATTTTAATAAAAAAATATTTTTAAAGAACATTTATTCAATACTTCAAATAAAAACCAAAAAAAAAAAAAATAAAGAAAATTTCCTATTCCTTTCATATAGAATCCGCGTGGAATAATGAACAGGACTAAAGCGGTGTTTATTGTCTATATAAGAAGCAATTTAGCATAGCCATAGATGAAAAGCTAAACCCCCGCTGATACCGCAAATTAAGTGCTAAAATAATAGCGGGGACCATGAGCGAGCTTCCTCGTGAAAGTCCGGTGCATAATTTCCACGATGAGCTGCGCCGCGCGGTTACTCTAGCAGAAAACTACTTGCGGTCGGTCGCGCCGTGACGCGCTCATGTCGCCCTGGAGGACAAAGGCCGACAATTAGAATCCCAAGGATAGAGACGACGAACCTATCCCGGGTTTCGCGTGGCTCTGACGTGCTCCGATATAATGATGCGTCAGCATACAATTCTCTGCATGCACCAAGAACTGAGATTTCTCCCGGTCTATACTAGGTTTTTGACCTATTACTAGCAGTACGTCTAACACACCTCTGTACATATTCATCCTTTTCCCTGTACCGCTAATGATACTTGCACGTCCTCGACAACGGGATTGTACAATTCGGGATGTTCGAAACTTGCATGTCGATCAGAAAAAAACTCCGCCTGTAAAATTTATATACAAAAATGCATCGTTACGAATTTCGATATTTATGAGACACTGAAGATTCGATGTTAGTCATTGAGTTTTATTACGTTAATTCATAGTTAATCTAATGAAAAAATCCATAATTAAAGTAATATATCATAAATATGTCATCATTGATATTGATCATATGATTGATTTACATATCATCAATAATATATCATCATTAAACATAAAATATTAATTTCATTCAATATAATAACAAGCATATAAATAAAATGTGAATAGATAAAAAAAGAAAATTAGCTCAATAGACTTATCAAAGTATCCTTACAGAATAACTGTGCGTATTTTTAATCATTCTACATAACATTAAAGGGTCATTTATTTATAATTTTAATATATTTTGAATTCTCTTTAATAGAATTGTATCTTTAAAATATTTTATGCGATCATTAAAAAAAGGAATAATATTAGATTATATTAGAATATAATTATTTCGTATGATAAATTATCTGTTTAGTACTGAAGAATATGTAATAAAATGTAATTAAAATAATAAGATTCCAATGTCACATAAGTTAGAAGTAAAAAGAAGAAAGAGAAAAATAGAATTAGCGCTACTCTTGTTATATACAAAAATGATAATACACCAAGAAGTCTACATAAGATTGAGTTTAAAAAATCATAAATATTATTATTCAGGGCTTAGAATAATAAGAGAAATTTAAAAAAAATTTACGCAAATTATGCAATTTTATAAAAATAAAATATAAAAAATTTTTATTAATGCAAAACAAAAAGTTGTCATGAAGAAATTATAAGAGAAATGGATATCCATATATATCATTATATATAGTAAACAACAGCCTTTTTATTTACATTTTTAAAAATAAATTGTACATTGCAATATTGAAAAAATATAAATTATTATATTTTAAATAACATTTTTTTTATTAAACTTTAATCACTAATAAAGTCTGATCACGTTAAAACGAAAAAAGCTTTTAAATCTAATTTGACTATTTCCATAGGGACTCCTCACTTAGCACATTTCTTGGAACTTCTGTCTTTCATTCTAAATTTAAATTGTTAAATTTTGCCTCTGATGTGAATAATTTACGACCAGATTTTTTGATTATTGAAAATAGTATTCAAAACATTTTCTTTTCCTGCGTACTAGGTAGTATAAAATATATATCTAAGAATATTAAAACTCCGAAAAATGTCTTCAGATCTATGTGAAATAAAAAATTGTCTTACTTTAAGAGCTCTAGGTTTAGTTTCTTACAATATTACAAAGTAGTATTACGAAATGTTGTCATACTTTTATATAGGAGAATCATGTCTTTCTTAAGTACTGTAATCAATAATTTATGCCTAAATATATACACATACTTAAGAATAAACTTTAATAATTCTACGGGTACGATTTATGATCCATATTTTAGAAGACCATTAATATACTCAATGTTTCTCCATATTTTTAGAAATGTTTCACGTGAACAGTTAGAATTTATTATTTTATTTATATATTATTTTATTCTATTAAGATTATAAGTATTACAGAATTGCAATAATAAAGTTAACATAAGCTTTTCGAAGTAAAATATAATTTGAAGCTGGAACAACATTTTAATTAACCTTTAATATTACCCGAATAAATTTCCACTGAATTAGCAAAAGACGAAATATTCGACAAAAAATATACCAGCCAGCCTTGCTAGAATTTATATAAATAAAAATCTCTGCGCTTAGACTTCTTCATTTGTCTCGCGGCTCGCTTTGTCACTCTATAGCACACAAGTGGCATGTGTTTCTACTCGTACCCTCGAGTCTCGAGTCGTTATAACAGCATCGCTTCGTGCCCAAGTTACACTACGATAATGCTCCAGCAGTCACGCACCTGTGACAAGAGGAAAAGAGAAAAGCTACTAGGTATAACAGCGACTGTAAGTATAACCACGGACTTGCCACTTTTTCTACGGACCACTCAGACCTTTTCAAAAGAAATGAGTAGAAAGAAAATGAATTGCGTTGCCTTTGAGATTTATTACATGAAGTCTTAAAAACTAGTGTGAATTATTAATTTGTTGATTGCAATGCTTTTAAAGTGAAGGAATTATTAAAGAAATTTGTAGTTGCGTTGTATAATAAGCAATTTGAAAGCACATGAAATCATATTTCTCTGTATATTTCGTAACTATATAAAATTAATTTAGAAGACACAGTTGCAATGCTTCGAAGCAATTTGAAAATTATTACGAGATATTATTAATTTATAAATTATTAAAAGATATTTAAAAGTTTTTAATAATGATATTGTAGAACTCTGTTAATTATAAATTTATCCTCCCTAATTTACCTGGCACGGCAAAATTTAATTATAAATAAAATGTTATTAATTTTAAAAATAAGAAGTGCGCACGAAATTATGTATATGAAAGTTATTGGTGGTAAAATGAGTTCGATGTAAATAGATATTTGGATTAAAAATTAATAATATTGAAATATTCTATGCCATTTTATAGGTAATCATTTTTAAATAATGATACGAAATCTAAATCCTATG